AGGCTTTGGTGTCTACATTTCACAATTTTTGAGGTGCAGTCAAGCATTCTCTTTCAAATGACTCTTGCTCAAAATTTGTTTGATGAAAGTTACTTTCAAGGCCTTAGTGAAGCTTTCAAAACGTTGTATGGTAGATATGTGCAGGATATGCCATACATGACGCATCAGTGACAATAATGATATTTGGTTGCAATTCCTTGTTCATGTTCCCGTGTTTTTACAAATAAACAAATGACTTGCCTTTGCAAGTGTTTGTAACAGGTGCCACGGTGAGGTAGGACACGGTCATCCGATCGCTAACACCTGGTATCATCACTATTTGATAGTTATTCATAAACACGTACGGGGACACGGGTGGCCAAGTCGTCACAGGCTCTGCAATTCGCTGTGCAGAGTTGCGTCTCTTGGGCACGCCAGAAACCTATGATTGTGAGTTCGACTCCCGGTTAGCCCCGATTATGTTTCTAGGTTTGTCAGCACCATACCCGTGCACCTGGGTTTCACCGAAGTGGTAAACGTCTGAGACCTGCATCACTTCGGCTTTCCTGCCATATCAGGCGGAAACGCTGTGATATAACTGTAATACTGACTGTTAAAAGTATTGTTAAACCCAACTCATTCACACACGTATGTACCCTGAGAGTTGGCAAATAGTGTTATACGTTCCTGGCGCAAGGAGTGCTCTCGCTAAAACGTGGAACACTGAAGGCAATGACAAAATTTACCCAATTTGAGAAAGTTCAAAACCCAACTCACTCCAACGTGCTTATGATCGTACAATGGACGATATTAATGACAATCGAAATGGTTTTGTCGCTTACATTTGAAGACAAATATGTCATCAGTGTGTGGCAAATATAGTTCAGCGTTACAACCAAGTGTTTTAATAAAGAAAAGAAGGCTGGCCCTTGTTTTACCGTTTCATTAGTTAAGTGCGTATTAAACAATGCACATAAATACGCGTCACAACTCACGTGTTCCACGCCAAGCCATACAGTCACCGGATATCCGTTAACAAAGCGCTGTGTCCATGATGCATCAGAGATGAAGTTGAAATACCCCTGATAAGAGTAATGACGCAGCTCAGTCTCATGAAACAGTTATAAAAACTACTGGAGATTGCACTTCTACCAGCGGGATATCTGCACATGAATCAGTGCTTCTGTCAAGTCTCGTTAGCGTCATGGCGTGATGCACACTGTCCCCACTTGCTAGATATTTCCCAGAGGAGTGTTCAATCATATAGTTTCAGGTCATCTGTATTTTTCATGTGTGAACAATCTCACTAGTCGTGACTTATCATTACTGTCCCATATAAATTTATATTTTATTCCTGATCTGACAGTTATATCCGCTGACCTCCATAATCGATAACAAACAGCAGGGGTGGGGGGTGGGGAGTGGGGGGTGGGGTATGCTCCTGGACCCATCAGTGCTATACTCATGAGGGGGGGGGGGGGGGGGGGGGTATGCTCCTGTACCCATCAGTGCTATGTTCATGGGGTGGGGGTGGGGGTGGGTTATGCTCCTGGACCCATCAGTACTATCTTCATAGGGTGTGTGTGTGTGTGTGTGTGTGTGGGGGGGGGGGGGGGGGGGGGGGGGGGCGTATGTTCCTGGACCCATCGGTACTATGTTCATGGGGGTGGGGGGGGGGACGTATGTTCCTGGACCCCCCATCGGTACTATGTTCATGGGGGTGGGGGTGGGGGTGGGTTATGCTCCTGGACCCATCAGTACTATCTTCATAGGGTGTGTGTGTGTGGGGGGGGGGGGGGGGGGGGGGGGGGCGTATGTTCCTGGACCAATCAGTACTATGTTCATGGGGGTGGGGGGGGGGACGTATGTTCCTGGACCCATCAGTACTTTGTTCATGGGGGTGTGGGGGGGGGGGGGGGGGGGGGGGGTATGTTCCTGGACCAATCAGTACTATGTTCATGGGGGTGGGGGGGGGGACGTATGTTCCTGGACCCATCAGTACTTTGTTCATGGGGGTTGGGGGGGGGGGGGGGGGGGGACGTATGTTCCTGGACCCGTCAGTACGATGTTCATGAGGGGGGGGGGGGGGGCCGTATGTTCCTGGACCCATCATGGTTCACTCCCAACTGCCAGACAAGGGATTGGGAAAAAATAAGGTCAACACCCATATCTAAAGGAAATAGCTTTGATATCAATGAGTTTCCAATACATTAATATTATTGGTGAATCCGGTAGTCATTTCCTTGCATTGTTTTAACCTGTCTGACAATTGGCACATCGGCCTAATGGGAAGCCACCATTGCTGCCGATCTTATTGTATCCAGCGTTCTAATGTTTAAGTTTTGAGTGAGTGACTTATGTTTAACGCCGCTTTTAACAGTATTCCAGTTATATCATGGCATGTCAGCTTAATGTGGGAGGAAAGCCCGAAGTGATGCAGGTCTTAGACGTTTACCATTTCGGTGAAACCCAGGAGCAGGGGTATGTTGCTCACAAACCTAGAAACATAATCGGGGCGAATCGGGATTCGAACCCACAATCATAGGTTTCTGACGTGCCCAAGGGACGCAACTCTGTACAGCAAATTTGCGGCGCCTTAGACGAATGAGCCACCCGTGCCCCCTGTAAATTTTAGGTCAAATCCGTTTTTCAAGTGTATAGTTTCTTTTACCCGGCAGTTCATATTCTCATCTGGAGTCAAAAATACTTACAAATGTCATAATCTTAAATCGTTTGGAAACAGATAGCAAGATTAAAAACCTGTCTGACGTTTTAATATTAAAACAAATAGACACCTCGAGGTCACAGGTGTTGTTTCCTCACCCACACCGAGACATTTCCGGCTGAATTCAAAGCGATATTTCAATAGTGATACATAGCCCGACATATACCTGGAATTACGACTTAAGCGCGTTGTCTTAAAGGTAGCTATCAAATGCGTATTTCACAAACAGCTTGACAACTCAACTCATTGTTTATATTTTTAAATTAAATGATGACGTGGTCTGCCTGCGCAGAAAGAAAATTCCATATTTATGGCATGTGTTACTTTAGGTCTTCCAGCCTTTCAGTAGGACTCGATGACTATTTTTAATAGTCGGCCAGACTTGGCATACAGATTGAGTTAAAAAGGTTCAACGTTGCGTTCAAGAATATTTCACTTATAGCGACGTGCGTGCGCATGTGCGCGCGCGTGCGTGCGTGCGTGCGTGCGTGCGTGCGTGTGTGTCTGTGTGTGTGCTTGTACTAGTCCGGAATAATGCCGGTTTTATAGTTCTAGACCACTGAGATACAGTATACTGACCAGTCCTTGTTTTATCCCTTAATGCCGAGCGCCAGGCAGGGTAACAAAAAGTACCACCTTTTAACATCATTTTGACATGACGAGTCCAGATTAATGCTGGTTTTATAGTGCCAGCCCACTGATATTTAACACCGCGTTCAAGAATGTTTCACTATAATAGCGACCTGTGTGACGTGTGTGTGTGGCTGCTTGTCCAGTCCGGACAGTTTTATAGTGCTACGCCAATGAGATACAATGCCGCAATTTAAAATGAATAGCCCACTCAGACCCAATATACTGACAGAGCTTACGAATCTGTTTTATCCTCTTAATGCCGAGCGCCATGCAGGGTAACAACAAGTACCATTATAAAACGTCGTTTGGTATGACACTGTCACAGGACAGGTCTTAGTGAGTGAGTGAGTGAGTGAGTTGGGTTTAACGCCGCTTTTAACAGTATTCCAGTCATATCGCGGCGTGTCAGCTTAATGTGGGAGGAAAGCCCGAAGTGATGCAGGTCTCAGACGTTTACCACGTCGGCGAAACCCACGAGCACGGGTATGGTGCTGACAAACCTAGAAACATAATCAGGGCGAACCGGGAGAATACAAAAAGTGAGTGAGTGAGTGAGTGAGTGAGTGAGTGAGTGAGTGAGTGAGTGAGTGAGTGAGTGAGTGAGTGAGTGAGTGAGTGAGTGAGTGAGTGAGTGAGTGAGTGAGTGAGTGAGTGAGTGAGTGAGTGAGTGAGTGAGTGAGTGAGTGAGTGAGTGAGTGAGTGAGTGAGTGAGTGAGTGAGTGAGTGAGTGAGTGAGTGAGTGAGTGAGTGAGTGAGTGAGTGAGTGAGTGAGTGAGTGAGTGAGTGAGTGAGTGAGTGAGTGAGTGAGTGAGTGAGTGAGTGAGTGAGTGAGTGAGTGAGTGAGTGAGTGAGTGAGTGAGTGAGTGAGTGAGTGAGTGAGTGAGTGAGTGAGTGAGTGAGTGAGTGAGTGAGTGAGTGAGTGAGTGAGTGAGTGAGTGAGTGAGTGAGTGAGTGAGTGAGTGAGTGAGTGAGTGAGTGAGTGAGTGAGTGAGTGAGTGAGTGAGTGAGTGAGTGAGTGAGTGAGTGAGTGAGTGAGTGAGTGAGTGAGTGAGTGAGTGAGTGAGTGAGTGAGTGAGTGAGTGAGTGAGTGAGTGAGTGAGTGAGTGAGTGAGTGAGTGAGTGAGTGAGTGAGTGAGTGAGTGAGTGAGTGAGTGAGTGAGTGAGTGAGTGAGTGAGTGAGTGAGTGAGTGAGTGAGTGAGTGAGTGAGTGAGTGAGTGAGTGAGTGAGTGAGTGAGTGAGTGAGTGAGTGAGTGAGTGAGTGAGTGAGTGAGTGAGTGAGTGAGTGAGTGAGTGAGTGAGTGAGTGAGTGAGTGAGTGAGTGAGTGAGTGAGTGAGTGAGTGAGTGAGTGAGTGAGTGAGTGAGTGAGTGAGTGAGTGAGTGAGTGAGTGAGTGAGTGAGTGAGTGAGTGAGTGAGTGAGTGAGTGAGTGAGTGAGTGAGTGAGTGAGTGAGTGAGTGAGTATGGTTTTAAGCCGCGTTTAGCAATATTCCAGCAATATCACGGCGGGGGACACCAGAAATGGACTTCACACATTGTACCCATGTCGGGAATCGAACCCGGGTCTTCGGCGTGACGAGCGAACGCTTTAACCACTAGGCTACCCGACCGCCCCGAATACAAAAAGAAACACTGCTACTTTTAATCTATTGAAAAAAACTATAATGAAAATGAAATAACGCATTTATTTCCTCATAGGTATAATGCTTTAGAGGGAAAGCGTTCCTGGATACCACTTTTGGAGGGACTGTTTCACACACGCAACTGAGGAAGAGTTACTGTTCTTCAAAGACGCCGGCATGTCCACCAAATAATAACATTGTGTTTTTCACCGATTGTTTTTGTTCCAGATCTTCACCAATTTCCTCTTTTGGGTGCAACCCACACCTCATCGGTACAATGTCGTCGAAGAACCGGGTTCTCGCAACATTCGTTATAAACGGACGGGTTGTCGTAATGGCCGCTGCAGTAGTAGCACTTCCGGCTTGTGTCTGCGTCGACGCACGGAGCTTGTGAGGAGATAACTCTGAAAAAGGTCATCAGGAGACACGGCAACATCAACAGGGCTGGAACTGATATCTGAAAAAGAGTGAGTGAGTGAGTGAGTGAGTGAGTATGGTTTTACGCCCCTTTTAGCAATAATTCCAGCAATATCACGGCGGGGGACAGAAATGGGCTTCACACATTTTACCCATGTGTGGAATCGAACCCGGGTCTTCGGCTACCCATCGACCCTCTGAAAAAAACCCCATGTCTTCATAACCTAATATATTGTGTTCAAGGTAAGGAAATGCACATTTGTTTGAAAAAATAGTCAATCCATAGATTTGCTCAGAATTCCTCCATTCGTGACAATATTAAGACTTTTAGTCATAAGGTTTGAAAATAAGATGAAATAAGTCATCGTCATCTCTCCTCTTGTATTTATCCGCTTATATTGGATCGGCTGGTTAAGCTCGGAAACGCCTCCCTTGTCGAGAGGATACAACGTCTGCCATGGACCCGTGAAGATCCGGGGTAGAATAGGTCTTCAACAACCAATCCTTGCCGTAAAAGGCGACTGTGCTTGTCGTAAGAGGCGACTAACGGGATCGGGTGGTCAGGCTCGCTGACTTGGTTGATGCATGTCATCGATCCCAATTGCGTGGATTGATGCTTATGCTATCAATCCCTGGATTGTCTGGTCCAGACTTGATTATCTACAGACCGCTGTCATATAGCTGGAATATTGCTGAGTGCGGCGTTTAACAACAAACAAACAAACAACAAGAGAACGGAACATCGGTGGTTGGATTTCCTGACAGTCTCATACCGAAAACACATAATGGTTGAAAGATGGCGCTGAAGATAAAGGACATAAAACAAGGACTGGTCAGCTCGGAGTCAGTGTACTGTGTCTGAGTGGGGTATTCATGTTAAACTGCGGCATGGTATCTCATTGGGCTTGCACTATAAACAGTCCGAACTAAACAAGCAGCCACACACACACGTCACACAGGTCGGTTTATAAGTGAAACATTCTTGAACGCGATGTTATATATCAGTGGGCTGGCACTATAAAACCAGCATTAATCTGGACTCATGTCAACTGGTGTTAAATTAGGGACTTGTTGTTACCCTGCCTGGCGCTCGGCATCAAGGGATAAAACAAGGACTGGTCGGCTCGGTGTCACTATACTCTGTCTGAGTGGGGTGTGGACTCAGTGGTCTAGAACTTTAAAACCGGCATTACTCCGGACTAATTCAAACACACACACGCACGCACGCACACACACGTTAATCGCTATAGTTCGTGTAATCTTGAACCCTACGCTAAACCTTATGCCTGGTTAAGCTCGGTGACTTGACTAATTTGACCCGTGTGGATTAGGGTTAGAACTGGTCTTCAGGAACCCATGCTTGTAAGAGACGACAATGCTTGTCGTAAGAGGCGACTAACTCACTAACTTGTTTCATGCATGTCAATGTATCCCAATTCCGTGGATCGATGCTTATAATATCAATCACTCGGTTATTAACAGACCGTCGTCATGGAGCAGGAATATTGCTGAGTGCGGCGTTAAACAACAAACAAACATGGATATTTGCGTGGTATCATACAGTGGCGTGGGGCGTTCCTCATAATATCAGACTCGTGAAGATTCCGGGGTAGAATAGGTCTTCAGCAACCCATGCTTGCCGAAAAGGCGACTATGCTTGTCGTAAAAGGCGACTAACGGGATCGGGTGGTCAGGCTCGCTAACTTGGTTGATACATGTCATCGATCCCAATTTCGTGGATCGATGCTCATGATATCAATCACTGGATTGTCTGGTCCAGACTCGATTATTTACAGACCGCCGTCATATAGCTTGAATATTGCTGAGTGCAGCGTTAAACAACCAACCAACCAACCAACCAATCATAATATCAACCACTGATTTGTCTAGTCCAGACGCGATTGTATACAATGTCATGTACTTTAAATAATGAGTGCGGCGTTAAAGTACATTCATAAGCGAACTTATAAACATGATGAGTGTGTGAGTGAGATTTGTTATACGCCGCTTTAAGCAATATTGTAGCAATATCACGGCGGGGGACACCAGAAATGAGCTTTACACATTGTACCCATGTCGGGAATCGAACCCAGGTCTTCGGCGTGACGAGCCAACGCTTTAACCAAAAGGCCGCCCCTAACACGGACAGCGAAGTATAATTTTCAAGATAAGCGAGTTGATGAACTTTATAGGAAGTACATAAGCAAAGGCCAGAATACACGTAATTTGGTGTATTTTGGTATGTTTCTACGGGGGCACGGCTGGCCCAGTCGTCTAAGGCGCCGCAATTCGCTGTGCAGAGTTGCGTCCCTTGGGCATGCCAGACACCTATTGTGGGTTCGAATCCCGGTTCGCCCGATTATGTTTCTAGGTTTGTCAGCACCATACCCGTGCTCGTGGGTTTCACCGAAGTGGTAAACGTCTGATACATGCATCACTTCGGGCTCTCCTCTCACATTAATCTGACACGCCGCGATATAACTGGAATACTGTTTCAAGCGGCGTTAAACCCAACTGACTCACTCACTGGTATCTATTTATGTGAAGAGGGATTACTTTTTACGAGTCTATTTCGTCTCTGTTTATTTCGTGTGGAAACCTTTGACCAACTTCCGAGTATAACGAGATTTGACGGTTGAGTGACATTATAACGGCTGCCATTGCCACCATTGCCAGCTGACTTAAATGTCCCCGTGTCACCTTTTCCGTGTAACTCTTAGTCATGGCGATAGCGTTATAACAGCGTCACCATGTTAACTACAGGTGCATTTTGTCACCGTCAACAGTCAGTTTATTTCCAACTTGAAGCGATGAAGTCAAATCACCCGACAGACGGAGGGATGGATGGACGGATAGGTAGATGGATGGATTGATGGACGGACGGACGGACTGATGGATGGATGGATTGACGGACGGACGGACGGACGGATGGATGGATAGGTAGATGGATGGATGGATGGATGGATGGATGGATGGACGGATGGATGGATGGATGGACGGATGGATGGACGGACGGACGGATGGATGGATGGATGGACGGACGGATGGATGGATAGGTAGATAGGTGGATGGATGGATGGATGGATGGATGGATAATAAATGTAAACACATCACATTCACATTACAAATGCTCCCTGATGATGCATGTGGAAGTTTAATGTTTCACACCAGTGATGTCTGGAAAGGGTTTCCATGACTATGACAACGGAACCGTTATTAGTATTTCAAGCAAATGAAACACCAACGGCGAGGGAAGAAATTCCGAGTAACGAGACGAGATTTCCCGTTTCAAAAATCATGACGGAGAATTAGTTTTCTCAATCCCCCCTTTTGGTTTTCCCTATTTATAAAACAATGAGTGTCATCTTACGTTACTTTAGTCATCGAGATGCATTGTTTCTTTTAGACGTTTAGGCAAATACTAATCTCTATAACTTCTTTGGTGGAGATGCATTAGGTTAAGGTAACGGTCTCAATAAATAGAACGTTAAACGCTCTATTGTAGCATGTTTGAAACACTGGTAATCACAACAATGCGGGGTAGATCCGGGGTAAAATAGGTCTTCAGCAACCCATGCTGGTCGTAACAAGCGACTCTGCTTGTCGTTAGAGGCGACTAACGGGATCGGGTGGTCAGGCTTGGATGATGACTGGATTGTCTGGTTGTGACTCGATTATTAAAGGACTGCTGTCATATAGCTGGAATATTCCTGAGTGCGGCGTTGAACACCAAACAAACATACAAACGCTCGTGGAATGACACTCTGACTGATGGGTCACAAGTGTACATTTGAGGCGCTCTATGTGCGTGTTTGTTTGTTTGTTGTTAACGCCGCACTCAGCAATATTCCAGCTATATGACAGCGCCCTGTAAATAATTGAGTCTGGACCAGACAATCCAGTGATTAACATCATGAGCATCAATCCAAGCAAATGGGATACGATGATATGCAACCAAGTCAGCAAGCCTGACCACCCGATCCCGTTAGTCACTTCTTAAGACAGGCATGGGTTGCTGAAGACCTATTGTGACCCGGATCTTTTTAACACTTTTAACACTGTGGCACACCCTTTAGTATATTATAGAATGAGTATGATTTTACGCCACTTTTAGCAATGTTTCAGCAATACCCCGGCGTGGGGCACCAGAATGGGCTTCACACGTTGTACCCATGCGAAAAATCGAACCCAGATGTTTGGCGTGCAAAGCGAACGCTTTAACCACAAAGCTACCCCACCGCCCCTGTTAGTATATTAGAAAATTGTTTCTGACAACGGATCCATGTCGTTCCGTTGTAACATAAAGGCTTGTTCACGTGCGAGAAAAAGTGCCTTCTCTGGTTATGGAGATATAAACTTATATCATGGAAAAATATTTGCGAAAGGATAAAGTATATAGTAAACTACATTTATAACGAACACGCTTATAACAGACTGACCGATATTACGAACGTATTTTTTAGTCTCGGCAATTTGTTGTATATATGATGTTTATACGCTTATAACGAACTACGGTTATTACGAACTAAAATAAGTGGTCCCTTTGAGTTCGTTATAACCGTAGTTTACTGTATAATCATACCCACATCTTGCGTCAGGTGTTTTCGTAAAACAAACCTCATCCTTGCAGGAACTATTTCATCCAAAGAATGATGAATGTCTCAAGTATATTCCCCTCGAACAAACAACAACCCTGTATCGCCTCCGTGGCCTTGCGTTAGAGCGTCCGCACGGAGAGCTGAAGGTCCGGGGTTCGATCCCCGGCCGCGTCATACCAAAAGACGTTAAAGATGTTAGTTGTTGTTACCCTGCCTGGCACTCGGCATTAAGGGACTAAAACAAGGCCTGGTCGGCTCGGAGTCAGTATACTGTGTCTGAGTGGGGTATTCATGTTAAACTGGCATGATATTTAAGTGGGGTAGCACCATTAAATAAATATTAGTCAAGTCTAGTACAAGCAGCCACACACACACGCGTGCATGCACGTCGCTATTGAAGTGCAATAATCTTGGACGCGACGTAAACCCCATTTCACCCCCCCATCTCACCAACATCCCAACCAAAATGGACTTACCTTCTTCATAATTGCAGCAGCGCGTGCGACGCTCCGTGTCAGTGTGTGGAGTAAAAGTGATGTGTTGACAAACAGCGACAATCCGTCCCATTATATAAAGCCATACATGTCACGTGGACACTTATTAAATTGTTTCTGTCGTGGTGTTGTAATTTGAGCAGTGGTCGCAATGGTGTCGGAAGTAGTTGCTGGTGGTGCAGTGAATTGATAGTCTGTTGTCAGAAGCGTCAATCCCCCTGATGGCAGACAACAATACTATCATTTTGGATGATTGCTTGAAAATAATTCGGAACAAATTGAAAGAATGAAAATACACAAAACTCAAAGATTCTTCAAGTATGTATAACTAATTAATTATGTGCATAACTACAGGTTATAAAAAGCAGTGTTGCGGTTAATACAATATTTAAAGTATATGTGGCAAAACCTTTTGGGAAAATCGCACGATAGAAAAAAAATCGATTAAGGGAGTGTATTGAAGTGTTATAGAGAACAAAAACATTTAAATTTGGTTCCTTTCTATATATAACTGTGACGTCATAGTTGAGTGGCGTAACGTCGTCATAGTAACGAGGAGTGTGGAACTGGGCCCCGTTCAACAAAGCGATATTAGCGCTAAGGTGATCGTAACTCCCATACTTTAACATATTCTTACGATGATCGTAGCACTAAGGGGGCACGGGTGGCCCAGTCGTCTGAGGCGCCGCGATTCGTTGTGCAGAGTTGCTTCCTTTAGGCACGCCGGAAACCTATGATTGTGGGTTCGAATCCCGGTTCGCCCCGATTATGTTTCTAGGTTAGTCAGCACCATACCCGTGCTCGTGGGTTTCACCGAAGTTGTAAACGTCCGAGACCTGCATCACTTCGGGCTTTCCTCCCACATTACGCTGCCACGCCGTGATATAACTGGAATAATGTTAAAAGCTGCGTTAAACCCAACTCACTCACTCACTCGTAGCACTAACGTCGCTTTGTGGAACGGGGCCCACTTCACGTTTGATTAAGCAGATGCTGTGCTACACGATTTCATTGACGGTATTATAAGCGATATAACGATATGAAAAAAACAATTTCGAAAAAAACAACCAACATACACATCCCCAAATTTAGCTTATAGGTTCTATCGGTGTTTCCGTGATTCAGATCGACAGCACCGTGAAAATATTGGACTCGCACTTCGCTCAGCTGCAACGGTTACCCGTTTAGATTTGTGGATGTAGATTAGAGAAAACAGAGCAGTCAGTCCCCTTTACTTTTACCGGTAACCTCGATCTGCATGGGGACAAATATGTTTATCTCCTAAAAGACGTCATCGGCTGTTTTTCGCCCTTTTCGCCTACACATTATGTCACCACTTATTTAATTTTAGCGGTCCATTCATATAGCTTTCACCGTTATACCCAGTGGAATCTGTCTCGGAACATGATCGAGACTTGTTATTATCCGGCGTTGATGTTTTGATAATCATGTAAGCAATTAGATGATCAAAGGTAAACAAATCAGCCAATCAGACAATCAAAACAAAAGTTTCCCCTCGTATTCTAGTGGGACTATATTGATAAGTGCGCGCCCATCCTTAGCCGGATCAAGGCGGTGTAGGACTTAGGCATGTTAGGCGATGGTAGACCGGCACCGACGTGTTCATGGTATTGCATTGGATCTAAGTGAGTGAGTATGGTTTTACGCCGCTTTTAGCATTATTCCAGTAATGTCACGGCGGGGGAAACCAGAAATGGGCTGCACACATTGTACCCATGTCGGGAATCGAACCCGGGTCTTCGGCGTGGTGAGCGAACGTTATAACCACTAGGCTACCCGCCCCATGGGATCTGAGTGAGTGAGTATGGTTTTACGCCGCTTATAGCAATATTCCAGCAATATCACGGCGGGGGACACCAGAAATGGGCTTCACACTTTGTACCCATGTCGGGAATCGAAGCATGGGATCTGACTGACATGAGTCAGGATCATTCACTCACGGTGTCGCCGTGAATCAATGGCTGGTTAGAATGACGGAAATTCTAGACAACCTAGTATGCGATAGGGACAGTAAAGCACTGTTACTGATACAGATGTTATTGACACAGGGCTGTTTGGAGTGGGCAGCGATGGTTACGTGGGTAAAGACTGGATGCACGTACACGTTAACCTACCCCGTGGGGGCCCAGGTTAGAATAATCACCATCAATCTATACTTAAAAGATCCTAATAGCTCGAACTGTCACGCGCGGTGACGTCATTGCGTGTTATCGTATCCTGTTGACTGTTGCTGAAAATATCCATCACTGGATTCAGCGTTAAGCAACGAACATACATAGATAGGTAAAGAATTAACTTTAACACACGAAGAACGCAAGTTAAATAATAAAAGAGCGTGTCTTACAGAATAAAATTTAGCTCGAATGAAATAAGTATTGGATTTATAATCGAATACATATTTTAATTCTAAAAGGATTCTGCTAAGATATGATTTTTGACCGTTAATTTTAATTTTATTTCGATTGAAAAGACCACTAATGCTAAATAATTACAATTTTCAAAATAGGTTATAATTAAATCATTTGTTAACTCATTGGTGAACGACAACGAGTACTTATAAGAAGCTATTACCTACATGGTACGTGAGTAAGTGATTTAGTGAGTTAATACTTGACGTCACATCTCTAATAATAATAATAATAATAATAATAAATAATAATGTCATTTGTCAAGTGCTTGATTTGGCGAGAATCAAGTATACATTCATAAAAGCAATGTACGGTGAACCGTTATTGTAAAGTTCATAGCTTCACAGAGCGTAATAGATAAGTCAAGAATTTGACTTTAACACACGAAGAATGCAAATTAAATAATAAAACAGCGTGTCTTACATATAACTTAGCTGGAATGAAATAACGTTTTGGATGGATAATCAAATGCACCAGTGAACCATTATTGTAAAGTTCATAGCTTCACAGAGCATAACAGATACATCATGCTTATATTCAAGCTCCTTACATAGTGTGAAATGTCATCAGTCTACTGAGACTGAATGATTCGCCCAAAGATTACAACTATTTTCAACAAAGGTTTAGACTAACACTTAATCTTTGATAACATTTTTTTTAAATAATTGTATTTTTTTTTTCAAAGAATCTTTCCTCCTCTGCTGTGTTCATGTGGGATCAATAAAACTAGACTTGGTTTAGTTTGATCTAGACTTGCCTCGGCTTTTAATTAATAATATATTGCACAGTCATGGCGCAGGACTAACAAAGATTATTCTTCAATTATTAATGAACGCATTGGTGGACCGAACGTTGTACGTTTAAGTACCTAGTTACACGAGATCCAGTGAGTTAATACATCACATCCTCCCAAGGCAAGGGAGTTATAGTTAACTGACTGTAAAAGTTCAGTTTCCACCCTTGCCGAACTAGGCTGGATTTCTGGGCTCGGTCGTAGCGCCACCAGTGACTATTAGGAGTTATGTCCCTTCTACGTCTCCCCTATTGACCAATCAGATTCCACCTCTCATATCACTTGCATTTGCTTCAAACAGAATGGCGACGCCTAGTCAAGACGATCTAATCGATACTTAAGTTCTATATTGTGATAAAACGGGTCTTATTTCGCGAAGTGCATCAACTCACGTGATAAGGTTGAGGGGTTGAGGGTTTTTTGTTTAACGTCGCTCTATATTCCAGCTTTATCACGGCGGTCTGTAAATAATCAAGTTTGGACCAGACAATCGAGTGATTGACATCATGAGCATCGATCTACGCAGTTGGGATACGCTGACATGCATCGACCAAGTCAGCGAGCCTTTCCACCCAATCCTGTTAGTCGCCTCTCACAACAAGCATGGGTTGCTGAAGCCCAGTTTTATGACCCAGATCTGCGCGGGTCTAGTCAACAGGGATAGAAATGTATTGCTTAACTTACTAGTAAATGTTTGTAAATAGCGTTTTCACAAGCTAAAACAATTGTTGTAAATGTAATCTTTACAAGCATAAACAATTATTGTAAATACATTTCATGATATCTACCTGCATAACTATGATATTTACGATTATTAAATACATGTATTTATTTACGATCATGCCACATAAATATTATATTTACGTTTATCATATTGTCATAAGTATTCAATGAGCTCTGGACAATGGAAATTTCTTATGATTATGGAAAATGATTTGTAGCTTTTATTTACACTATTTCAAAGTAAATTATCATTTACATATGATATTTACAAACATGAACTATTAATTTAGATATTATATTTACAATATTTATTTACAAGAATAAACCATTGTTGAAAATATTATATTTACAAGGATAAATAATTAGGGCAGATATAGTTTTAAGCATAATCAATAGTTGCTTGATTTTGACCTCTGCACTATTAACATGACCACATTGCAAGTGATATAAACTTAATAGTTCAACAACAGGTCTAGAGTCAAATATTTCTTCTGCAGCAGAAAAAAATGATAATATACTTTACCAAATAATACAATGTACACAATGATCAAGGGCCCGCAATGATACACTCTGCGTAGTGATATATTTTACACAATGATATACTTTACACAGTGACACAATGTACCCAAAGATATACTGCGCGCAATGATACATTCTGCATAGTGATGTAATGTACACAATGATACACTGTCTGATATACTGTACACAACTATTTACTGCAAACACTCGGCATAGTGATATACTTTACACAATGATATACAGTCAAGTCCCGTTAATCCGACATCGATGGTTTCATATGATTATGTCTGATTAACGAGTATGTCGGATAAACGAAATTAAGTAGTGTCAACGGTCGTGATCGAAAATCGGACAACTACACGATAGATAATGATTCAAACACGTAATAAAACAATATAAAATAAATATTCATATTGTTCCGTTACATTGTTAGCGGAATGTGTTTTCTAATCATGCAACCTCTAAAGTTTAACACAAAACAACTGTTACGGACTGTATGACTTATTCAAAATACTTTAAAAAGCATAATCTGCAATCAATCTAATTATAATCAGACCTTAGTTCTCGCTACCGCTAAACCACCGGTAGCGAGAACTAAGGTCTGATTTTAATGAGATTGAGTCTGTAATGGAAGTCGTAAGTTTGAAACTGGTTCCGCAAAAATCAAGAAAGCTGCTTTCTAAGTGGCTAACGTTGACTTCCTGTTAGTCATTTCATTGGTCGGTCATAGTTCGTTCTGACGTCACCTGTAATTGGGTGTCCTCGGCGGTAGCGAGAACTTGTATCTGATTTTAATGAGATTGAGGTAATCTAAGCATGTGATTAATCCCGTTTTCTTCATTTAAAGCATTAATTGTTTATTGTTGAGCAAGTTTATCTCTGCAGTCGTTGAAATATGCAGCTACTCGCCGACTCGTCTCGCACCAAAACACGGGCTGTGTACTCGCGGGCAGATGACCACGGAGTACGCTGATCACTGGGTCGGATTAACGAGACTGATTAATAAGTGATTCTGGTAATTCGTTGCAAATTAGGTGTGTCAGAGTGCGAGTGCGAGACTGTCGGATTAACGGGTCTAAATTGCACTAATTCAATCGGTTCCCATCATTAGCGTCGGATTGTCGGATAAACGAGACTTAACTGTACTGTACGTACTGACACATTTTGAAGAGTGATATACTCTACAAAATGATACAACGTACACAATGATATGCTGTGCACAACGATATACTGTACACAATTATATACCCTACACAAAATGTGCCATATTCAGCAGTAGACTTGTCTCACCTTAAGAAGAACGACTGGCAGTCATGTGAGCTGTTCAGTGGTGGGCCGCGTTGACGTCTATGAAACTAGATATTCATGAGTGGAAATATTTCTCTTACATCCTCTAGGCGGAGTAGCTTTGTCCCATATATCCTGGTGTGGGAGTACGTTCCACCCAATAGCAGTTCCCCGACGTGTGTCCAAGTAGCTATTTCCCAGCTCTGCATTGAACATGCATTGTTGTATATGAGGTGTTACACTTAGGAATGCGGACGTCGAAAGTCAACTGACCAATCAGTATTGAGAATGGCCTGCACATGTACAGGAAGTTCTTACACGCAATGTTTCCCCACTTCAAATAGTAGACACTATTTCCCACAGGTGTTGTTTTCTAACAACTATTTTTTGGGGAAAATGAATCAAGTCGGATGTAGCAAAGTTGAAACTGCTTGTTACCATAGCATGAGTCATGTTTTGCTACACGGCAGTAGACGTCACCATTTGATATTCTGGGAGGGGCCGGGGTGGTCGGGTAGCCTAGTGGTTAAAGCGTTCGCTCGTCACGCCGAAGACCCGGGATCAATTCCCGACATGGGTACAATGTGTGAAGCCCATTTCTGGTGTTCCCCGCCGTGATATTGCTGGAATATTGCTAAAAGCGGCGTAAAACCATACTCACTCACTCTGGGCGGGGCCTGGGATTATAGCGACAAAAATAAATTGTCCCCGAAAATTCTTGAAAACATGCTGCAGACTTTTGAAAAGAAATTTGTCTGCCGCATTATTGCTAGGTGTTTTTCTTTAAAAAAACACAAATCAGGCTCATAGTTCTGAATAAAAATATTTCTTTTTTTTAGCTGTAGCTGAAAAATATCTAATCTCGATACAAAATTCAAGGTCCCTCTAGAATATCACGTGGTCGGTCTCTTATCAAATCCATCCTGGTAATTGAACCCGATGGAGCTCAAGGTTTGAACGGGTATCCAGCACTCCATCGTAAAAGGCGATACTTATTGGTATTTTTCATCTACGAGGGGTGTTCATTAAAGATTTCCCCTGATCCACTTCCGATGGACCTAGTAGAATGAAACTTGGCATAGGTATTAGTCTTTCTCCACATAGGAACCACCAAGAGTTACACACTTCTCCCATCGTTTTATGCAACTATGGAGACCTCGCTTGTAAAAGCCCTCATTTTGCGTCTCAAACCAGGACTTGACTTCAGAAATCAGTGTTTCATCATCTGTGAAACGTTTTCTCTTCAAAAATGACTTCATGGTTGGAAAGAGGTGGAAGTCAGATGGTGCAAGGTCAGGAAAGTAAGGAGGATGTGAAAGGATTTCAGCAGATTATTCACGTGGGAGATACACTGGACAACTGTAATGACGTCGGCGCAGCCTACATGCACGTTGACAACTGTACTGACGTCGGCGCAGACTACATGCACGTTGACAACTGTTATGACGTCGGCGCAGCCTACATGCACATTGACAACTGCGGAATCGCCGTTTGACGTGACTGGCGTTGAAGTCGAACATTATGAGAAACTAGATGATCAGCTGAAAGGGAATGTTAATGAATAGAAATAAGTAAGTTTTTCCGCGTTCCCTTGAAAAAGAGATGCGTCACAGTTATTGCACTTATTTAGCGACGCACATGCATGAATTCAAGATGGCATTTATATATAACCATGGATATACACGATAAGTTAATGCGACTTCAGATTGTATTTTGTATATATAACTAATTACATAATTCTCTACTAATAACTGAGAGGAACCTACCAAGTTGCATAAGAGGCGTTTTAGATTCTTGGTGTTTGGGCAGATGAGGTATTCCCTATCGATATATTATTGTTTGTTTTCTAAAAGCCTCACAGCGAAATAAATAGTGAAATTAGTCTGCAATGCCTGGTGAGTTACACAATTTACAGAAGCGATCTTCTCTAGGTGTACTGCGCCATCTCCCGGACTCAGTGGGAAAGTAATAGTTTCATGTTCTAAATTTTAGAAGTGCGTGCGTGCGTGCGTGCATGTGGCCATCAACCTTCCTCTCTCGACTAGACGACATCGGTCTCCTTGGAACAGAAGATCGAAAGGTATTTCAACTTTACATGAGCAACAGCAATGTTAATGCGACATTTCCGTCCTACAATTATGAACAATGTGAGGTATGCATATTAAGTGGGAGATGCACACACCAAATCTCGGTTCACTTCAAAATGAAGCCCACATCTAGTCGGCGATCGAGTGGTACCACTTAGATAATTACTAACCCCCGTTGCGCCCATTTTGAATTGCCGTATAAACAAATACCAACATATTTGCCCCATATTTGAGATAATGAATGGGAGAAAATGCAAAATATTCTTAACGTAATAGTAATTCTACTGATGATGTCAATGAACTACAAATATGGTATGGGTGCACGGGTGGCCCAGTCGTCTAAGGCGCCGCGATTCGCTGTGCAGAGTTGCGTCCCTTGGGCACGACAGAAACCTATGATTGTGGGTTCGTATCCCGGTTCGCCACGATTATGTTTCTCGGTTTGTCAGCACCATACCCGTGCTCGTGGGTTTCACCGAAGTGGTAAACGTCTGAGACCTGCATCACTTCGGGCTTTCCTCCCACATTAAGCTGACACGCCGCGATATAACTGGAATACTGTTAAAAGCGGCGTTAACCCCAACTCACTCACTCAAATATGGTATGCCTGATTTGGAAATTATTTTTTATATAATATTATAAATACAGCCTTGATATCCGTTTGGCATGCATGGTACACACACCTTCAAGCGAATGATGTATTTTCAATGTAAAGGCTGACTATTTAAATATTGCACTTACTGAAAATCTAGTGGAAGTTTCCACACACTCTACGGAATGAATAACAGTTATGACATTCGGGACTTCTGTCCGACCAATCAATATCGATATATGTTAGGATATTCATAATTCCGGGATTGTTTTCATAACTCACCCTTGAAGATGCAGGATGGATAGGTCTTCAGCAACCCATGCTTGCCGTAAAAATGTTGGCGACTATATGCTGGTCGTAAGAGGCGACTAACGGGGTCGGGTGGTCAGGCTGGCTGACTTGGTTGATGCATGTCAACGTATCCCAATTACGTGGATCGATGCTCATGATGTCAATCAATGGATTGTCTGGTCCAGACTCGATTATTTACAGACCGCCGTCATACAGCTGGAATATTGCTGAGTGCGGCGCTAAACAACAAACAGACAAATCAGTACAGTGATGTCTAAACTGCACTTGACCAGCCCAAAAGGCCTGAATATCGTGTGATCAATCGTGCGTCATGTGAAGTTTGTTCTTTTGTTTTCGGGAAAGCAGTTTAGAGTCACCTGAGCTCGGTTACAAATCCGGAAAACATAAAAGCCCGACGCAAGCGGTTGAAAATAACTCGGGCAGTGACCAGAAATATATTTTTTGTTTCATTTTTTTCTATTTATTTATCCACTCACTCACTCACTCACTCACTCACTCACTCACTCACTCACTCACTCACTCACTCACTCACTCACTCACTCACTCACTCACTCACTCACTCACTCACTCACTCACTCACTCACTCACTCACTCACTCACTCACTCACTCACTCACTCACTCACTCACTCACTCACTCACTCACTCACTCACTCACTCACTCACTCACTCACTCACTCACTCACTCACTCACTCACTCACTCACTCACTCACTCACTCACTCACTCACTCACTCACTCACTCACTCACTCACTCACTCACTCACTCACTCACTCACTCACTCACTCACTCACTCACTCACTCACTCACTCACTCACTCACTCACTCACTCACTCACTCACTCACTCACTCACTCACTCACTCACTCACTCACTCACTCACTCACTCACTCACTCACTCACTCACTCACTCACTCACTCATATATTTATTTTCCTGCGCGGGCGGGGGGTGGGCCCTGGGGTGTGTGTGTCTTATCAGGACATCCTCGTGACCACAGTCAAGTTTCGATCCAACACTCCGGTTTTGAGTAGCATTATCTTCACTTCTCAGAAACGGTTTAACGTAGAGGGGAATGTTCGAGTAACTCTCCATTCCTTAAAAATAATGGAGCCGAGGCCCATTATTTTTAAGGAATAGAGAGTTACTAGGATATTCCCCTACTTAAAACTCATCCCTACTTTGACACTTTGACACAATATTCTGTTGTGGAAAATATTTGAAAAATAAACCAGAACTCTTTGATGACTGTATTTATACTGCGTGAGTCGCCCTTGCGTGATGCACGAGGAATACGTTATCTGCCGCTGTTGCACGTGCATCAAGCACACAATGTATGGTACATGGCTCTTCATAATTTCGTTGGGTCCTGAACTGGTGTTTATAAATCGCGTGCACATTGTCAATACATGTTGACGGGAATAATAGGAAATACAGAGCCCCGAACAAGGATATATATATATATATATATTCGACTTAACGCTCCTCGAAGTACCGCTACTCCGCATGCACTGCGGGGTTAACCTTGGCTCCCAAAAATGAATAAAGAATTTCCCCCTAAAATCGCGTTTAAGCAAATAAAGTTACAAATACATGGAATCAAGTCGTTTACAGTGACCGGGGAGCGGAGACTGGCTGACGACGACGCTGCTGACGCGTTTCCCGCCATCCTAAGAGATCTGATCGAGTCCGAGGGGTACGACGAAAAGCAGATTTATAACTGTGACGAGACCGGCCTGAACTTCAAGCTGCTGCCAGACAAGACCCTAGGCACCAAGGAAGACAAGCAGACTGGATTTAAGTCCGCCAAGCAACGGGTCACAGTTTTGCTCACGTGCAACAAGCCTGGGACTCACAAGTTGAAGCGTTTGGTGATGAAGATTTCGTTGGGGTTCAAGAAGAAGATGTCACTGATGCTGTACGAAAGTTCCGCGACTATGCTAAGGAGAACAGCATCGATGTATCCCCACGGTTTGGAACACGTGCGACGACGACCTGCCGATTGCCGAACTTCTGAACGACCAAGAGTTGGTTGCCGCAGCTATGCCCGTCGAAATCATCGATGATGAATGAGTGAGTGAGTATGTTTTACGCCGCTTTTAGCAATATTCCAGCAATATCACGGCGGGGGACACCAGAAATGGGCTTCACACATTGTACCCATGTCGGGAATCGAACCCGGGTCTTCGGCGTGACGAGCGAACGCTTTAACCACTAGGCTACCCGACCGCCCCCATCGATGATGAAGAGGACGAAAACAGTGACGATGACTTTGTTCAGCCAATGGCACCCTCCGTTCGAGATGCCATTAATGGGGTCGAGTGTTTATTGCGGCACTTAGAAAAAAATGAGTGATACGAACAACTTCACGTAATGCAAGTTCGCTGCATACTGTCACAACTGAGAACAGGGGAACGTGACAGCGAGAAACAAACGATAATCAGTGACCTTTTTAGTAAATAAAAATGTATTCATTACCTCATGTACACGCACCGGTTGCATGGTACGAGTGTTTCAACGCAACATTTTCCCTGTACATAAGTATCATTGATAATAGAACAAAATATTTCTTTCATCCACTCAAATCTACGTTTGGAACGTAATGTGAACCTCTGCAATGAATATCTGTACAACGCTCTTTCCTAGAACGCGGGTCGGTTTTTTGGACCCCGATGACAGCGGCATGTCTAGGGAACAATATATATATTACCTGATTTGTATTTTATTTTCTCCTGAAAGGTTTATCTAATTGCTATAAACATGAACATTGTTGTAGGTAACCTGCTCTAACCCAAAATATGTACATATTATTTTGCTCTTTTAAGCATTATGCAAACTTATGAAATTTATAATAGTTAATTTTACACCAAACCTTCATGTGCCGCCGTAGCTGAGGTTGACAATTACACGTCCTTAAAGCAAACGGGTTCAATCCCCTCTGGCGATACATGTTTTCGGAATAAAAATGAAATTATTCACTTGTTAATAAATGTAAAAAATAGTTCCGTCTATTAAAAGTGGAAATTGATCTAAATGTTGGTTCAAGATAATGTAAAGTTACCAAACAACACTCCATTCCCGGAATGTAATGGAGCATCCAAACAATAGAATGACCTCAAGGGTATTTTTTATAGAAACTGTTTGCGTATTAAACACTCTGCTAACAGGATAAAACACGGATTTCACGATACGATGTGTGCCAGGGTGTGCTACTTCGGAAAGAAAGTAGGAACGGGGGAACATAAATGAACAGCGCCTGATATAATGTCCAGAGATTGATACTGAGAAAAGATTCAGCGTGACAATATAGATGGATAAATGGACAGAAGAACCGTCAGCGATCGGGTTGCGGAAATGAACAACGCATCATCCAATAAGATACGTCGTGTGATTGAACTGGAACTGCGACCTCCATTGACAATTCTGCTAGGTGTATGGTGCAGCCATATTCAAGTTATGGATGCATGTATCATAAATTACAGTCACCCCCCCCCATCTTTTCATAACTCCAGGCGGATGGGTGTCCCAGTCGCGATTCGCTGTGCAGAGTTGCGTCCCTTGGGCACGCCTGAAACCTTTGATTGGGTTCGAATCCCGGCTTGCCCCGATTATGTTTCTAGGTTTGTCAGCACCAAACCCGTGCTCATGGGTTTCACCGAAGTGGTAAACGTCTGAGACCTGCACACCACTTCGGGCTTTCCTCTCACATTAAGCTGACACGCCGTGATATTACTGGAATAAATGTTAAAAGCGGCGTTAAACCCAACTCACTCACTCACTCAACCTGAATCAACCTCACTCTCATGCCTCCTCTCAAATACAAATAATATTTTTTCATGCCTCCACCCCCTCTACGCTAATAAATGGCCAGTCCCAAAAATGATTATTTTATTTGACATTTTTTCACCCCCTCCCATGGATTAAATTTGAAGAGCGGTGTTCTGTCGTTCTTTTTAAGCACACGAGTGGGTGAGTGAGTTAGTTAGTGAGTTTGGTTTAACGCGGCTTGTAACAGTATTCCAGGTATATAATTGCATGTCAGATTAATATAGAGGAAAGCTCGAAGTGATGCAGGTCTTCAGACTTTTACCAGTTCGGTGAAACCCACGTGCACGGGTAAGGTGCTGACAAACCTGGAAACAAACATAATCAGGGCGAGGCGGTAATTGAACCCGCGATCACAGGTTTCTTGTGTGTCCAAGGGATGCAACTCTGCAAGCACAAGGAGGACGCGTGCCCCAAGAGGAGAAATTAAAGTTAAAATCGAGAAAGAAAACAGCCAAAATGTCAGAAGACAAATACGCATTTGCTACAAAACTAAAATCGATGCATTGTCCTGGTGACAGGTGTTTTAGACAGCAGCTGAATTGCTTGATCATATCTCGTGAATGTTGAAGTTGGAAGTTATAAACAACACAGCTGTCACCTTATGCATGCGAAATAAAGTCATGTTCGCTTTTTATCTGAAGAAGATACGTGTATTTGATCACCCGTGATTAACCATTTTATCATATCGCCGTTCTAATATGATAAAATAATAAATGCACTGGAAAAGAGAAGATACAGCGTAGTCGTAAAATACAGGGACTATATGTCCTAAAATAAGGTTTATTTACAGATTGGGAAAACGAAGTTATTTTTCTCAGATATATTGAACAGACTTCATAATTCAAAAGAGAAACAGTGAGGTCTTTCACCTGACAAATCAGAACATACATTCTTAATGAGCTTTGCAGTCCGTTTAAAAGAAATATTAGATGATTATACGGTCCCTAGGCGGAAGGGGTTGACTGAGTCTATATATAGCTGCCGGCAGGTCACGATTGTGCGAGTGACGGGGAAGTCTGGCTACGAGTGAATCAGAGCAGAGGGTGTTCAACAATCACTGTTACACAACAACCTGATGTGTTCAGCGTATAGCATCAGTAATATACACTCACTCCAGCCTCGCCATGTTCAACACAATCTTCGCCACAGTTCTGTTGACTTTGTGTGGGGCCCAGCAAAGGAGGAAAAATGTCTTATTTTTCGTAGCGGACGACCTACGGCCTAATTTGGGAGCCTATTCCGGACACCACGCCCCGTCTCCGAGCGATCCTGCCATGTATACACCGAATATTGACCACCTGGCTCAGAGCAGTCTAGTTCTACAGAGGAGTTACGTAGCGCAAGCTATTTGCAGCCCAAGTCGAACCTCAGTGCTAACCGGCAGGCGACCTGATACGACCCGCGTGTGGGATCTTAAACACTACTGGCGCTTGGTAGGGGGTAATTTCACTACAATTCCCCAATACTTCAAAGAAAATGGATACCGGACAGTTGGGATGGGTAAAATATTTCATCCTGGGAAACATGCCTCGGGGAACAATGATCCAATTTCTTGGACCGATCCGTATTTTCTCGGCGAGGATGACTACAGCAAGAACCGCTTGTTGTGGCAGGCTGTGACGGAAGCGGAAGAACGCCAGACGCCATTGCTCGACACTCAAATTGCCGATTTTGCACTTAAAACGTTGAACGAAGTTGCACCCAAAGCTAAGAGCGGTGAACAGCCTTTCTTTGTCGCAGTTGGCTTCCATAAACCTCATACACCATGGAATTACCCGGAAAGATTTGAGAAGTATTATCCACTAGATTCATTAGAACTGCCTGATAATTATTTTTCTCCCGTTGGTATGCCAGCATTTGCCTGGCATAATTTCTCCAGACTGAATACTTACAAAAACGTGGAACCATACCATCTCCACGATGTTGGCGCTATTAATTACACCTTCCCAAAGAACCTAACTCTGCTCATGCGCAGAGCGTATTACAGTTCCGTGAGTTTCACAGACTACAATGTCGGGCGCGTTCTGCAGGAACTAGATGACCTTGGACTCGCCAATGACACAATTGTGTCGTTCTGGGGAGACCATGGGTATCAGTTGGGCGAACACTGTGAATGGCAGAAGGAGACTGTATTCGAACTCGCAACCCGTGCACCCATGATGGTCAAAGTGCCGGGCGTCACGGACAGCGGCATGGTGACGTCACAGCTTGTAGAGTTCGTTGACCTTTTCCCAACTCTCGTCGACTTAGCAGGACTGCCGGAGATGAAACTGTGTCCTGAGAATTCCAGTCAGATTTTACTGTGCACGGAAGGGAAGAGTTTTGTTCCTTTGTTTACGAATCCGAATATTACAGGATGGAAGAACGCAACGTTTTCGCAGTTCCCTCACGGCAGGAATGGCAGGAACGGACTGGATGTGATGGGGTACAGCATCAGGACCGACAGATACCGTTACACGGAGTGGGCTACGTTTAAGCCTCATCTAAAACCCGAGTGGAACAAGTTGCACGGCATCGAGTTGTACGACCATGGAATTGACCCGGAAGAGAACCGAAACTGGGCCCAGGAACCGAGTTATGCAAATTTGAGGTCCCAGCTTAGTAAACAACTGAGAGCAGGATGGAGGTACGTTAATGTTTAACGTGTGTGGAAAGTTCGGTGGATTGGATGTCCATAATGACTGTTTTGAAAAGACCAACTCTTTACAGAGACCTACCTTGTCTCTTTAGTGTATTGGGTGGCTTGTTCCTCTGACTTGTAAAACCATGTCCTACGTCTACCTCAACATGCATGCACTCTTTCATTCAGTGGACACTTGTGATAAAGACGAGCGTGATCCCAGAGCATCAAGACTGTTGGAAGAGTCAGTAGGATCAGGGGGCTACAATGGGTGATCTGGCTGAGCGTGTGTCATTGTATCAAGATGGCGTGGATGGTCATGCTTTCAACCTCTGGTTTGTTTGATCCAGATTCGATTATTTTGTCCCTTATTACATGTGCCTTATTACATGCCCCTTATGATTTAAAATAGTACTGACTGCGCCGTAAAACGACATTGACGAACGTTTATCCTTCAATCCCTGATTTGCCTGGCCCAGATTTGCTTACTCACAGGCCACTGACTGCGCGGAAAAACAATACTAACTCAATCCCCACGCATATACAATGAGGTGGTTTTTCTTTGAGATTGGGGGCGGTCGGGTAGCCTGGTGGTTAAGGTGTTCGCTCGTCACGCCGAAGACAAAGCCCATGTCTGGAGTCCCTCGCCGTGATATTGCTGGAATATTGCTAAAAGCGGCGTAAAACCGTTCTCACTTACTCACTCTTTGAGATTGAATATTTTTCTAGGGCCATGTTTCTTAAACGTGAGGAGAGAGGTAAGACTTCTTTGTTGTTAACAAAAAGTGATTAAGACGGTACACGTTATTCCAGCTATATGACGCCGGTCTGTAAATAATAGTCTGGGCCAGAAAATCCAGTGATTAATATCCTGCGTATCGATTCACGCAATATGGACGGATGACAGGCATCAGCCAAGTCAGCACAGTCGCCTCTTACGGCAAGCATAGTCGCCTCTTACGGCAAGTATGGGTTGCTGAATCCCTATCCTAACTCACGGGTTTTCTCATCCAATATTATCCAGTGTTGTGTATCTACATTAGATAACATTCGCCACCACAGCCTCGTTTTCGGAAGTCATGTCACCATCTCTGTCTCTCTTATCTCTAAATTAACACAGCATTTCCTTCTTTGATGAGCTTGAAATCATCAGCCAATAACAATCCCCCCAATTGAACACGAGTTCCGTAAGATTTATATCCTACGAGCAATACCTCGATATATTTAATCGAGACTGTTATAGAACATTTAAACGGAAAAGATGTTTCCTGGGCGCTAAGATATCAAGGGGAAGGACGTTCTTGCGCTATCAGGCATCGCCAATTTGGGACGGCAGGCGAGTCGCGTACCCGTGATATCTCTTCTTTTTTCAATCATGAACGACCATTTTGATTGACGGCCATTTTTACAGTCTTGCCGTAAGAAGGTAAATCGAAGCTACGGTTACGAAAGGGTCCATTTTATTTATCATGAGAAATAATATACTAGACAACCGAGGATTCGATTTTTCAGACATTTCTAACATCTTCCATAGCTTTTTGTCCTTTCTTTTCGTGTATACATGCATATTGTGAGATGTATCGTTTATTATTGTACGTAACATTCCATTGTTTGTTTTTGCGACCGGTTTTTAGATTCGAACGGGTGTATTTTCTATCGTTTATTTCACATCTTTTTAACTTAATGAAGAAGCATAAAATTTCATATCAGATGTAATTTTCTGTGTTGTTATTTGTCCTTCCCAAATTCAGGTTGAAGGTGAAACGCAAATTCATCAGCATCACAGCTGAGGTGTAGAGATCAACTATCGAACATCACCTTATCCTCCGTCAGATGCTGGGAGGATATGAACCGCTGAATGTGATCCTCAATGGAATAAAGGTTCGAAAACCACACACACCAGCTGACCGCCTCCGTGGTCTAGTGGTAGAGCGTCCGCCCGGAGAGTAAAAGATCGGGGGTTCGATCCCCGGCAGCGTCATACCAAGATATGTTAAAAGATGGTACTTGTTGTTACTCTGTCTGGCGCTCGGCATTAAGGGGCTAAAACAAGGACTGGTCGGCTCGGAGTCAGTATACTGTGTTAGAGAGGGGTATTTATGTTAACCTGTGGCTATGTATCTCAGTAGGCTAACGCTACAAAATCGGCATTAGTCCGGAATAGTACAAGCAGCCGCACATACACACACACACACACACGCGCGCGCGCGCGTGCATGCCCGTCGCTTTATAAGTGTGATAACATTGAACACGACGTTAACTCCATTTCACCTCACCAGTGATGATATTTGTTGCAGGATTATCTCTTGGTCTTACTATGGATTAAACCCAGGGTTGGCTGGTTGGTTTATTGTTTAACGCGTCACTTAGCAATATTCCAGCTATATGACGGCGGTCTGTAAATAATCGAGTCTGGGCCAGACAATCCAGTGATTGACATCATCACTCGCCTCTTAAGACAAGCATAGGTTGCTAGGGACCTGCTATAACCGGAATTCCCCTGGGGTTAATCGTCTTCAGCAACCCATGCTTGCCGTAAAAGGCGACTATGATTGTCGTAAGAGGCGACAAACGAGATCGGGTGTAAGGCTCGCTGAATTGGTTGATGCATGTCATCGTATCCCAATTGCGTAGATCGATGCTCATGATGTCAATCATTGGATTATCTGGTCCAGACTCCATTATTTACAGACCGCCGTCATATCGCTTGGATATTGCTGAGTGTGGCGTTAAACAACAAAGAGATAAAAACAAAAACTATGTAGACCCAGTTTTTTTCTACTGGTATATTATAGTCTATATTCACCGGGTAGGAAAATGTCAGGTTAAAAAGCGTCAAGGTATCAAAGGTGGTCGTTCCAAGCGTTGCTTAATCTTCAAACGAGATTTATATCATTGTACTACTTTCGCGTCACGTTTTTTTTCTGCCCATGTCCTAGTTTTTAAAGGTTCGTTCAATTAAAATGTTGCAGTTGTAGTGATAACACAAGTGAAATGTACAAAAATGGAATACCATTGTAACGCATTTAGGTCACCTGTTTCTTTAAATCTGCCAGCCTGTGGGTATCTCTCGATGGCTTCCTTTAAAGTTATATAACGGTATTATTCAAACAATAATGATCCACACTGATATAATCATCCGTGGATGAAGGATGTCATTTCTTTACAGACGTACATCGTATCCGACTTTCTCTGTCATGGTTTCGCTGTCAGCTGTCACCTGGTCAGTGCTGGTCTCCTCATCACGTGGGTCTGTGAATATTTTAGTTAGTTCCTGTCTCACAATCACTGACCTCCTCCCGTGCTGTTTCTGTGCTTGTCTGTTCTTCAAAACGTCCATCAAATACACCCAATCACATTCACGCACTACGTCGACCTTCACCTTGTTGTTATGTAAAAGCCGGAGGCCATCTTTGTTTTCTGTCGCCTCATCTTCTGTCCCGACTCTATACAAGCTAGCAAATCGTATCGTCATGTTAACTTCAATGCCCTGTGCTTCAAGGTCATGGAGGAAGTTGACGATGCCCTCAGAAGTCGCTCCTTGGGGGGAGTAACTCAGATAGATCTTGATGTTGATCTCATCTGCGTCTTGCCAGAAAGGTTCATCAGGAAGCCATTCAACTAATCTGTCCTCTGCTCGCGGGCCGTCAGCCGCCGTTTCGAAGAAAATTCGTGTTAGAATCGTCTCCCCTTTGTCTCGGGTAATTTTGCAGACCGCGGCTGTGTTACTGACCTCCTTGTCAGCGAGACTCGTTTTCCAGAAGACATCGAACTCCCTCCTCAGAGGATTGTTACCTAGCATGTCCCTAGAGACGAAACCTAGAGATAACAGAAAAAATCATACATTGTTCAGTACCTGCCATTTAATATTCAAATGTGTTTGCAAGCGTGCGTGCACGTAGGTCACAAGAAATCAATTTTTGTTCACTTAAAACTATTTCCACTGATATGACTAGACTAACATCTTGTCTCTGAAATGAACTTATCGTACAGAAAAAAAATAGTTGATAAATTATCGTCATAAAAATATAATAAAAAGGAGCCCAGATACTCTCTTCATTTTCAGATACCCCTATACTGCAGAAATCTAGACTTGCCAAACATTATAGACTTGCATGGGCTGTATTTGATATATTTGTATCAGGGTCTGTATAGTGATAGACTATATGACCATCACCTCCGTATTTTCTGAAGCATATTATTTGAAAACAAGAACAGCATCACCACCCCATTCCCAAGGGATACCCGATAGTCGGCAACTAATGGTCTTCCTTAATGTGTATTATGTATTGTAAAATATAATGTGTTTGTTAAGAGAATGGTTGTCTAGTTGTCTACGTGTGGTCCTGCTGTTCCCGTTGCGTCCATTAGACATGTAAGGGTCCATTGCTCATTGGCTCAAATCAGATCTAAATTTTAACTATATATCATGCACTTTGTTAATACGTTTTATTTTCTTGTGATATCTGACATTCACGAATGTTAAAAATAAAACTGCATAACAAAATGAATGAAATGTCCCCCGCACACCTTTTACACTTCTTATTCATATGATGTTTGTTGTTTTACGCCGCACTCAGCAATGTTCCAGCTACATGACGGCGGTCTGGAAATAATGGAGTCTGGCCTAGACAATCCAGTGCTTGACATCATAAGCATCGATCCACGCAATTGGGATACGATGACATGCATCAACCAAGTCAGCGAGCCTGACCACCCGATGCCGTTTATAGTCGTCTCTAAATGCGATACATTCACGCTTCTTCTGAGGACAACCCGGATCGTCACGGCTCTATTCATATGATGAACTGTATTACTCATCCGTGAAGAGGTCACCCGTTTAATAAATATGCAGCTGTATTACACATTGTTTAATAACATCACGTGCAAACGGAACTATTTTTGGTCGGCCACGTGATACATCACATGACTTAACAAAATGGCTACAGTCAAAATGTACCGATTCTCATCAGGGCGTGATTACAAATACTTTTTGTTCAGATGAATTATTATGAGTTTGAAACAGTAATATGTTCTAAATATACGGATAAGAAAATATTCATTAATTAGAAAAAATAAACGACATGAAATGTAAGTGCATAAAGCAGACGTTGAATCTATCGTCCTATCACAATGGCAACCGAAGCTATAAAAGTAAATGATTGTGTCAAAATTGATGGTCAGCTGAAGGGACGGGTGATATCGGTTATGTAATAACTCCAAAATGTCCTTCTATTCTCATTTTAAATTAACGTTGAAGTGTGAAGAATATTTGTATTGTGTAACCGTGAGTAAATTGCGGTCATGTATGTCAAGGTTTAGATGCAGCGCACATTGGCTGGGAATAGAAACTGGTAGAAAAGTTAATATCCCTCGCGAAATAAGATTTTGCAAACTATGTCAAGTTGGCCTAATAGAAAACGAGTTTCATTTCCTGCTAGTGTGCCCTGCATACACTCACCTACGCCATCTCTATATTACTTCAAATGTCCATAAGTTTAATATTCTTTTATCTATAACCAACACAAAGCTGATTATTAATATCGCTAAATATCTGTATCACAGTAAAGAAGAGAGAACACGTATTTTATCATTGTGACTGTTGCCATAAATATGCCATACATTTTGTACAAAGGGCCTGTGGCCTGTACTGTACTGAATAAAGATCTGGATATCGGTTGTTAAACCTTAAGGGACATACAGAATGTTCAACGTTAAACTGGATGTTGGTTCCATGAAACAGGTATCTCGCTATCGAATGCAACGCATTCCGGGGTCAGATTCGGCCATGTTACCCCTACATACCTTTGTTGACAATGACAACAGTTTGTTCGATCTTAATGATCTATTCAAAGATAACTTTTTATATATTGTGCCAGTGCCTCCAAAGGGGGATGAAATACCTGTTCCGCCAAACTACTGTGACGATTACGAAATTGCGAATTCCATTGCATCGATTCAGAATGTGAACACTTATGACATTAAAATCATCACTAGATTTATAGACGAGCAGAATGACTTTAGACAACTTTAAACTGGTCTTTATGAACGTCAAAAAGGGTAACGGGTCGGATTACGAGCCCACAGGATTGAGGGGTATGATTGGCAGTGTAGACAGGCACCTCAAAAACAAATTTTACGGGAAATCCATTATGCATGATATAGAGTTTGCACATGTCAGGGACGTTCTGAAAACCAAACAAAAAAATCTGAAACAAGAAGGTCTCGGAAACGTATCTATGCGTGTCCCTAAGTGAGAACGATATAGAAAACTTAGCATGGGAATCCGGCGAATTAGGTCTCGATACTCCCGAGTCCATTTTGAACACACTTTGCTGGCACAGCACAGCGCAGTTTGGGCTTCGCAGCATTACTCCTCCTAGAAATATGCTCTGGGGAGACGCGATCTTAATTCAAGATGCAAATGGAAATGGCATGGAGTACTTGCAGTTCGCAGAGCGTCAAACCAAAACATGCATTCGTGTAAACATCCGGGATGTTCGGACTGTCACGCCGAAAGCTTGGGCAAGAGGTGCGTATAAGCGCTGTGCTAACCTCAGACCAAATGGTTTTAGCGGCCATGACGCGCCATTTTACTTGGCAACAAATTACAAAACTGCTCCCTGGTTTAAGCGACAACCTGCGACAACACGCTTGGGTCCATAATGAAACGCATGGCAGCAAATGCAAGACTTGAATCTACCAAACTAATTATTCCGCCCGAAAGTATCTGGTCCAAACTCTTTCTGAGGAAAATGTTCCACCTACTCAGATAATGCAAATCAGTGGCCATAGAGATGTGCAGAGTGTCAATAACTATTCACAAATTTCTGAAGAGCAAGTTCCCAATCACGGCTTTGTGTTCCGACTTGCAAACCGTTGACCGTCTCTGCACCATTCCAAACTTTCCAAGTGACAGCTAGCCAGTCTCGCACACTCAGCTCTATCTTTGCCGGTATAATCACCAATTCTGTGATAAACGTTAATTTTCTAAACCAGAGCTGACTTGATGTAACGTCATCAGACACGTGTCTCCAGTGATAGAAAGTTTGAAAATAGAATCCCTCTGCCTGCGGTCATGTGACGTTATGACCTTGGCCTTGACAACGAACGATTCAACTTGTTTTGTTATTGTTTTCGAAACGTCGCCGCAGTTTCGCAGGAAATCCATTAAAGTAGATTTGTTGTGGAAATTTGCTTAAATTTGCTTAAATGTTGCTTAAATTTTGATATTATAGTTGCACTTTATGATGCTTATTTACATGGTTTTGTATTCATACGCATGGCCTGATTTGAACTCGGAAAGCGACTTACAAAGACAATCAGCTGATTTGTACGAGGTACAAATGACGAGTAATAAACGGGTGTAGAGATGATAGAGCACTGAGAGGAGCTCAGGCACACACGATGACTCTAGCAGCCCTGTTGCTAGGCTGACGTCACATGACATTGTTTCGCCGGTGCATCTTGCAACAAAAAATCCACAAATTACGTCATAGGGTACTGTGACGTGATTGTAAACTTTGTGGTGAAGGGCCCTGTTCCACATGCGATCGCAGCGCAATGACACTAGTAAGTCTATGTACTAGGTTTGGAAGTTACGATAACCTTAGCGTTAAGATTGCTTTGTGGTTGTGTGGTGTTACATTGATAGGTGTCAAGTTTTGACGTGTTTGAAGTATTAATCTGTTACACTTAACATTGGATCATGATTTGTATCTCGTAAATATCTGCCTATTCACACACAACAGTTAAAAAAAGTTCTAAACTGCAAATAATAAATAAACTATGTAAAGTAAAATACATTCACGTAAACACACCCATCAATGTCTGAGGCACGTTGTAGTGGATATTGACTCAGCAAATATACGAAAGATATTGACCCCTCTCTATAACATGATATAGCGTCAGGTAAATGTAACCTTTACCAGAGACCATGCATATACCGATATGGCCTCTACCTCGCCTCTACGTTTACCATGCAGAACACCTACCTGAAGAAATGCTGTTTGTGTGACACCTGAACATAATTGTATATTCTTTAGAAACAATATATCCACAGTTCATATATACAGTTCAAAGTCCGTCAGAGAGACGACTGAAATGCATAAACATCTCGTACTGGTCTTCGAAGCGGTAACACGTGGCAAGTTGGAACGCCTCCCGCAGCAGCGCGGTTGCAAACAATGAGGTCAACATTTGATGTAAGGCTCACATTTCGAACTGGCAGAAACGACGTGATTGCATCTGGAATAACACGATCAGCTGGTACTCACGTTGTGTTGTGAATGTGAGACGGGATGCCATCTCATATATAAGTAGACCAACCGAGTGCAACCGGTTCTGACCGACTTACGTTATGTAACTTCGTCAACAAGAAGAACCGGGCAGCTAGCTTCATCATTTCGGTGACGTTATGATGGAGAGCAGGTGTAAATGACGCCATTGGGAGTTTTTTCACTTGCACTAGACATTTTCTCACCTTACATTAAACTGTTAGTTTCTGATTGGTGGGGGGGGGGGGGGGGGGGGGGGGGGGGAGCCAAGTCGTCTAAGACTTCGCAATTCGCTGTGCAGAGTTGCGTCCCTTGGGTACGCCAGAAACCTATGATTATGAGGTCGAATCCCGGTCCGCCCCGATTATGTTTCTAGGTTTGTCAGAACCATACCCGTGCTCGTGGGTTTCACCAAAGTGGTAAACGTCTGAGACCTGCATCACACTTCGGGCTTTCCTCCCACATTAAGCTGACACGCCATGATATAGCTGGAATATCGTTAAAAGCCGCGCTAAACCAAACATACTCACTCACTCACTCTCGTACCCCGCTGAGAAATCAATCGCAACACACGCAGGTTGCTTATCTCGCATAAGATTCGTTGGGCTGGAATCTATTGATTAAAGGGAAGTAATTCGGTTCGTGTTCGTCGTCTGATAGTTGACAAAAAACAAACATGGCTGAATCAAAGCATTTTACTCAGAAACACTTCGGACATATATACTAACCTCCAAAAGAAACGCGAACCAGAGAAACATATGGAGAAGTATGTACGTTTAGAAGAGATGTTTGCAACGTGTACAATTAATGACAGAACTAACATCAGGCAAGTGTTACCGCAGAGTTGTTACGATATCATAACGATATGCTGTTAGTGATTTCCAAACTTTACACGCTAATCCTGCACGAGACAAATGGTGCATCTCGAGTCATGGGTCTATGACGTCACATGTGATGCGTTCATGAGCGTCGGTATTTTCGTAGTACGTCGAACCAATCTAATATATCTTGAATATGAGTAATTCCTCATATATTAACCAACTTGTATAGTATTCGCGTTTCGTTTGTCGGTGAGTAAATTTCGGGCCTGTATGAATCAATGCTGTTGTCAACAGTTGTCAACCGATCACTTGGGGCATATGGTGCCGGATATATCAATTCATTATGACCATATTTCATAATCTAGTTTTTAAAGTAACCCTCCTTACACAAAAGATAACTATTTAAAGAATATAGTACTAAAAGACATTGCAAAAAAACGAATAATCAGGGGGGAGACTTTATACTGAGGGGGGGGGGGGGGGGACTTTATACTGAGGGGGAGGGGGGTGGGGGGTGGGGGTGGGGGGGGGGGGGGGTGGGGGGGGGGCGAAATATATGCGCCCGGGGGAGATTTTTTTTCAGAACAGATTCTCCGGGGGGGACCAGGACACCGGCTGGGAGTATATTGGCTCACACACAGGGTACATCACGCCAAGCTGCTAAATGTACTTCTTGTCATGAAAAGCTTACTGTCAAGCATACTTTGCTTAAACGCATGTACTTTGAAATTTAAAAAACCCCGTAAGATATGTTGCCTGTTTAAGAGGGCACCTAATTTAAAAAAAAAACATTCTGCATATCAACTGAGAAGCAAAAGAAACTAGATCTGAAAACGTAATTGCTTGTTGTTTACTTTGTATGAGGAAAAGTGAATATGCATCAATTTCAATGACAGTACAGAGTTGCCGAAAAATGTTCCTTGTGTCTCTCGAGATTCAAATCGACTCGGGGGCGGTCGGGTAGCCTAGTGGTTGAAGCGTTCGCTAGTCACGCCGAAGACCCGGGTTCGATCCCCGACATGGGTACAATTCTGGTGTCCCCCGCCGTGATATTGCTGGAATATTGCTCAAAGCGGCGTAAAACCATACTCACTCACTCAAATCGACTCTGTAATGTCTGCCTTGCTATTTTACAGTGCATATCAACAGCTATAAGTTATCACTCACAGCACAGCGGTTATCTTTTATCACGCTGTTCAGATTAACACACCAGCGACAGTTATAGATCATGGGATCATACTCATGCAGCCTACAGTGGAAGGTACGTGCATATTGTTAAAGCCGAATACAGTACAGAATTACGAGACCCGTGAAGATCCGGGGTAGAATAGGTCTTCAGCAACCCATGCTTGCCGTAAAAGGCGACTATGTTTGTTGTGAGAGGCGACTAACGGGATCGGGTGGTCAGGCTCGCTGACTTGCATGATGCATGCCATCGTATCCCAATTGCGTGGATCGATGGTCATGATGTCAATCACTGGATCGTCTGGTCCAGACTCGATTTTTTACAGACCGTCGTCATATAGCTGGAATATTGCTGAGTGTGGCTTTAAACAACAAACCAACGAACCAACCATAATTACGAAATTACGGAATAATTACATTGTCAAGTAAAGAGTAATTAATTAAAGTACAGTAAACTACGGTTATAACGAACTCAAAGGGACCACTAATTTTAGTCCGTTATAACCGTAGTTCGTTATAAGCATATATACAGCATAACTACAGAAAATAGTCGGGACCAAAAAGTAAGTTCGTTATATCCGTCAGTTCGTTATAAGCGAGTTCGTTATAAACGTAGTTTACTGTAGATACCTCACTCATCAGACAGAAGTACACCACGTCAGCCTGTATTTACTAAACACAGCCTTCGGATGCGAGTGAGTGAATACTGTTTTACGTAGCACCATTCCAGCAATGTTTCAGCGGAACACAGACATAGGCTGTACGTTGTTCCCTCGACGGGTAAGAGTAAGAGAGTGTTTAATTCAGTGTTTGAGAAAATGTAGTTTACCAACAATTATGATATCTTCCATCACAAGACAAACTAACCCCTTTGTCACATTTCAGACGATCCAGGCTATCAGTGTTCTTGCCATGTTTGTATTTAAGCTTAAATAAACGTGAACACTTCTTCAGTAACATCCTTGACACTTCTTTTTCATGTGCATATGTACACAAGGTAAAAGTATGTTATACATATCGGCGCTCTGTACATCATATAATATTAGTAGTTTTATATTCATAATGGCTAACCTCTCTCTCCGTGTCGCTGTGTGTATGTGTCTCTCTCTGTGTGTCTCTGGCTGTCTCTCTCTGTCTCTGTGTGTGTGAGTGTGTGTGTCTCTCTCTGTCTGTCTGTGTTTCTGTCTTTCTGTCTGTGTGTGTGTCTCTCTCTATCTGTCTCACTCTCTCTCTCTGTGTGTGAGTCTCTCTATGTCTCTCTGTCTGTGTGTCTTTCTCTCTCTGTGTGTGTGTCTCTGTGTATCTCTGTCTCTCTGTGTCTTTCTCTCTCTGTGTCTGTCTGTCTGTCTCTCTCTCTCTCTCTTGGAGAGGAGCCCATGCCTTCACTTGGCTACCCCACCGACTCTCATTTCCTTTACTTGTTTCTATACTTAAACCCTTTGCCTGTCGGTCACACATATAGTGAACGCCACGGTCCCTCAACAGATTATATCGCGTTCATAGCCGGCATTAACTTGACGAGAAACATTCGATATTTCTTGTCTTTTATGTCGAAAAACATCTAAAACATCAAAACTGAGGTCTTGATGTCAAAACTATTAACAGGTTCAAATGAATGAACATGCTTCAAACAAATATGTTGTTTTAACTGACTACACTTGGGGGTAATATGAGAAGTTGCTAGGTGATTTAATATAAGTTTTATTCTTTTATTTAAAAAGGAGTTAATAAATATGGTATTGATTAATAATGAATATATACCTGTATATTATGAATGTCTTGTTATGTCGACTTTCTCCTAGTGCACTACAATTGGTGATAAAGACCTCGCTCTGTCACGGACCCAGCATGACGTGTGGTGTGTCACCACTCTGACAAGATACTGCCAGCAGGAGTTTGTGTAGACAGATAACATATCATTGAACACAACATACCATTGTCTACATGTTATAATCACAAGCAGGAATTCATATCACGCAAGTAAGTCCCTAGAAACTAGCTGAACCTGTACATGAACAATTCTGTATTTATTTGATGAGACAATTAAAAGAAGTTTCCTTACCAGCAACTTATTTTAAAAAATTTAACTGCGACCCCTTCATGTTTCCTCTTTTAAAATCTTAACAGTCTTTTTAAAAACATAATTTCAGTATAGTTCAATCAATGGAAAAATTACTTCTGTAAAACACCTGAAGATCGGGGGTAGACCAGGTCTTCAGCAACCCATGCTTGCCGTAAAAAGGTGACTATGCTTGTCGTAAGAGGCGACTAACGGGGTCGGGTGGTCAGGCTCTCTGACTTGGTTGATGCATGTCATCGTATCCCAATTGCGTGGATCGATTTTCATGATGTCAATCCCTGGATTGTCTGGTCCATTTGCAGACCGCACGTCATATAGCTGGAATATTGCTGAGTGCGGCGTTAGCCAACAAACAAACAAACACACACCTGTCAAAATCTTTATGGATAACATATTCTGGTTATTGCATTTAACAACGTTTCCTTATAGATTCCTACACCTTTGTCCTGATATATCGCTATAAACAAACAGGGAAAATCAGGTCGCTTGTAACCTTGAAATGATTAATACCAACGTCGAATTATATCCTGGCAAAACGGAAAATTATTGATTGCCCTGAACTGAAAAGACCGAAAGGTACATTGAAAATGAACTCTTTGTGACCTTTTTATAAGAGAAACTCAGTGAATGTGCATGTATGTTTAAATTTATCATATAATGGATAGGTTTCTCGGCAGGATAAAGCCAACGGATAAAAACGATATCCGTTGGGGTCATATGCGGATAGAGATGCAAATATCAAAGGTCAAGTAGGACTACTTTCGCTGTTTATAAACAAACATGGCGTCGCCCTAGTCACTCGGCGATCGAGTCAGAATTAACCATCGGGAATCTGGATAAACAACAGGGATAATTGCTATCATTATCAAAAGAACAGTCTAACATACTGAAAATCAGTGTCTAACTGTGTCGTAGCTAAGGCATTTTATAAGTTTTGGCAATTTTGGAGATACAAATTTCGAAACAATTTTGCGAGGGCACGAGGCCTAGCCAAGAGGGATATCTGTGCTTGTAGACCTCTGCGGCTTGAAACCTTCTCCACAAATTAAAGTAGTAAATTGGATTTTGCCGAAATATGTTTGAATTGTTACCTTGTTTCGTTTTGTCGCTGTGTGTACATCTGACTACAGCTCTTAACGTTATAACAGGACAGACCGACTGTCAACAACGTCTGACCGTGGCCGTGACGTCTCACAGACTAGGGTTAGAGTAGCTTCCCTTTGACAAAGGGCAGTTACTCTAGCGGACAGACCGATGGATTGCCGCGAAAGGCAATTTAAAACAACTGTTGTTTTGCGTATATGTTGCTTCGCCACTGTATAAGAAACAGATTTCAGTTGGAACTATATTGGCTACTGTCACTGTCCGACTGACACATCACTTACCATGTGACGTAATAAATATTAATGCGCGCATTCCAGGAAAACTCGCAATGTTTCGGTAATGTTTGTTAGAGAGGGAAAGCGATTTTAAAGCACAGAATTAAAGAATGACATTATATGATAAAGAGGTTATCACGCTTGTGTGTTTGGGGATGGTAAATATCCTGTATTAGGAATAAACACTATGTATTTAGCTCGCCAAGGCTCGCTAAATACCTCTATGTATCACTTGTCATTTAGATTCCTCGTTAGCTTGACTGGAACTGTCTCTACAGGATGAAGACCATTACAGCCCTGGTTGTTACCATGGTGATGGTAATGCTAATTTTCTGTGTTATAACTGACGTGTCGATATGGGAATGTATTATGCTGAAATTGTACTTTTCCATAATACGTTATTACAAATTCCGAGACCCGTGAAGATCTGGGGTAGAACCCATGCTTGCCGTAAAAGGCGACTATTCTTGTCGTAAGAAGCGACTAATGGGATCGGGGTATCAGGCTCGCTGACTTGGTTCATTCATGTCATCGTATCCCAATTACGCGGATCGATGCTCATGAAATCAATCACTGGTTTGTCTGGTCCAGACTCGATTATTTACAGACCGCCTTCATATAGCTTGAATATTGCTGAGTGTGGCGTTAAACAACAAAGAAATTCTGCTTTGGTAAATTATTATTATTATTATTATTATTTTTTAAAAGTTTACCTTTGCAATAATCAAGGTTCCGACAAATACATATATTCCACAGATATTGTCATCAGCTACGAGTGTTACAGGAGGTTTCTTCACAGTGGGTAAATATGCAAATATTGTTATTCAAATCGCAAAATACAAAATCGTATGAATCACATGTTTCTGTCGAAAACGCAGTTGGTTAGAAAAGATCTTGAGTTCCAAAGAACAATCCCAATACAATTCATTGTATGTATGTATGTATGTATGTATGTATGTATGTATGTATGTATGTATGTATGTATGTATGTATGTATGTATGTATGTATGTATGTATGATATCTTTTGATATCAAATATATCCACACGAGTCGATATATGTTTTTGATATCAAAAGACACTAGTCATTTGACTGTTATTTTACACAGGAAAAAGGTAATGCAGCATACGGGTAATATCATGTTGGTGTGTTTCGGCGCCAGGTTCTCACGTGGTTGTGTTTTTGCGATTTTCCCATTTTTTCACCCAATTCCTGCAGTACCTCATTCTTTCCACACAAATCAATCCAAATCCATGTAGAAATGACCAAATTATTTTTGGTATTAATTTTGTGTGGATGTCGGTAACACTACCGTTTACTACGTTTGCGGTTTTTTTTTGCAGAGTATATATGACATCGTAGACAGCAATATCCCATCTTTATCACACCGTAGACAGCAGTATAACATTTATATCACATCGTAGATATCAGTATAACATCTATATCATATCCTAGACAGCAATATGACATCTTTATCACATCGTAGACATGACAAACACAGCTATATCACATCGGGGTTACATGTCTTTCCCATATATAGATCCTAAACTACCCTAGCTATTAAACACAATCATAAACATGTTTAAGTCCTAAACGCAACAAAATTATGCCACACGTAAAACGCTCAGGCTTTTGTTTAGGATCTAAACACATTTTTACAGTGTGACTTGCCACGATTTTGTTTCAAAGTTTGTCAACACCTTCACATGCTTGTGACATGCATGCCACAGACCTTTATTCCCACGTCAGGCGGAAACGCCGCCATATAATTGAAATACTATTCAAACCGGCGCTCAACCAAACTCACTCACTTACACAAAAATACCTAGCTGGCCTGGCTAATGGTTGGGATATATCTGAGAGTTCACCTTTGACATCTGTCATCAAAGTACCATCATAATAATGGAGGTCGTCTATTTGCCATACACTCTAAACCCAACCCATGTAGAACACGAGTTGTGTCCCTTGTGAAGGAAACGCAGTATCCAATCAGATCGCTGTTCTCATTTCGAATGGCTTCACCAAGATGATTACCATAGCAATTGAGATTTCATCCCTGTCAGACAAACAAAATGACAGATTACACAGTAAAGATACTTATTATCTCATACACTACTGACTAGTTAAACTGCACATCGCGGTAGCCTGAAACGCTCAGCGGTGTCTTAAACAAAGAGCACTGCATCTCACTCACTGATAAGCGGTCAGACGTTCCAGTTAGAAAACAATGAAGTTTGCACAAAAATATGTATGTACTTCTTTTTTTTAAATATTTGTTATTCAATTCAGTATATGATATTACAGAGTTACACATTGAGTAGCACGTCTTGTGGTATACTTATTAGGTATAGGTTACATACCTATACAGCAGCCAGCATGTCAGCAAGTTTAAGTTGGCAACAGGTGTACAACAATGTTTACAAGTGGTAAAATGGGCAGGCTACATTTGTCATGTTTATTAGCTAAGTGTGAAGCTAAATCCTTACAGTACATGAGTGGAAATTGTTTATGTTAAAAAAAAATAGAAAAAAAATAAAGATATATTAACTAGACAATTCATTGGCCAAATCTGTCCATTTTCTGTCAAACTGTCTTATTGTATTGTTTTTGTGTGCAATTGATTTCTCTATCCGAAATATATCAATTAAAGTCTTCAGAAACTTTTCAAGTTTAAATAGTCAACTCGCCCAAGAATATATATGTATTCTTGGGCGAGTTGACTATAAACTTTGAAAGACTTCGAAAATATTTGTTTTAGCTTAAATTTGGGAATTATCTCATCGCGAATTTCAAGGCGACGGCCGTAGCCATAGAATCGATCACGTTTTCGAACCAGGAAGTTGATTTTGTAAAACGTTCTCTGATTGGACCGTTTATTTCTGAGACAGTCCACTCATAGTTTAGCACAGAAAAGTAGGCTTCAAATGGTAAGGGTGGAAACTAGACTTTGAAACAGTCTAGCGGACACGCCTTCCTTGGCAAGATGATTCGGGTTTATCCCACCGTGATACAGGAGCAATACTGCTTAATGCCGAGTCAAGGACGGCATCACCAGTAATCATTCCTTCATCAATTATATAACATGTCCACTGTACTAGCCTATCAATG